TTGCATAGGAAGCCGCCGCCTGGGTAGTTGGATCACATCTACCAGTGCCAATTTCGTTTTTTATCTCAATGAGGAGGTATAATACTCTATATGTATGAAAATCTAATTCCAAGGTTCCATCGTTTGAACTATTATCATCAGGCTGAATTACCTGTACATCTTTGCTAAATAATTCGCGAATAATTTCATGAAACTCTTTCTGACGAAGTTTCTCATCCGAATAAAAATCTGACATAGTTTTAATACAATTTAGGGTCCATTGATTATGTTCCTTACTCATAGGTAGCTTTTCGTTGTTAAAATCTTCCTTGAACCGAGAAAAAGCAGAATTATATAATATCAATGGTGTGCCGACACAACTAGAAGGGCGATAAATGATAAACTCCTGATCATTGTTTTGATGATCATACAAATAATTGATGTGAGCGAAAGATGATGGGGAAGGATATTTTCGAATCTTCTTCACGTTTCTATTCTGTTCTGCAAAGATTAGAAAATATTAGTCAAGACAACAAATTCTGCAGAAACAAGCACATGCTATAATGCTAACCTTCCTCGTAATCAGCCAAATATTGTCGCTTAGAAGACTCTGTGGAAACTAGCAATGTTAAGACAAAATAGCAGTATAAGTCCGGTATAAGTTCGGAATTATATGAGTGCAGATATCAAGACAAAACGCGTTCACTCGCGTTGACTAATTTTATTACGACTCACTTACCGGTGGATTTATCTACGATAACGCGAAGGTGTTGTTTGACGATAAGAAGCAGGAAATAAATGCACAAGAGTATGTAAGTATTCGATATTATTGGCGAATTCAAACGCATTTTCTTTTTTGAGACATACCAGAAGTCAACAAATTTCTCAAGTATGTAAGCTTAACTTTATCATTTTTGCTTTTAATAAGCGCTTTTTCCACACCAGGTAATTTGTCGGTATTGTTGAAATACGTAAATAAATCAGCTACTTCTTTCTCGGTGAGTTTCTCAACAACATCGATGTCGGAAAGGCGATTAACCTCGTCATAGATATCAATAGTAGCCATACTTATTATTTATGTTTTTTTTGCGTAAAAAAAAGTTTCACAGGTTTTTTGAAAAAAGAAATGACCTGTTGAATATATATATAAGAAATCGATTGTCGCACAGATTGATCTGCAACTGTCTTAAATCATGTTTTACAATAGTGCATATAAAAAAAGTGCTAAACTTTGAGATCGTGACGCGCGTCACAGTCTCGGGATTTCGTAGTTTTTACATATCAGATGATAG